TATGTATATTATTTATTATGAATATACTCTCTGGTAAACAGTTTCTTCTACAAACTGACGTCTTACAACCTGAAGAGTCTTCTCCACATCTATTCAAACAACTCAGCTGACTTTGTAACCTCATTGCAAAACCCGATATATGATGCGACTTCAGGTACATTTGTCGAAAAACAATCTGTTGGTAATGTTCCCGTTTCTACTCACCATCCTATCAGTTTATTTTGTGGTGCTTTGAACATCATGTGATCGAATTTGTTCACACTCTGCGAGGACGAGTCTAAATCAACCTGAGTTGATTATCCGATGCCCGGATGGAAGTATACAGCTTAGAGTAGGTTGTAAACTCACCACGATTGACAGTCTTCAATGCTATGGCTATTCCTCAATAACACGGTAGCAAAGTTCAGTGGAAACTCATTCATTTAGAGCTAAATTTGTGTATGCCACATATCAGCTGCTGAAGAAACAAGCTGCTAAAACTCTCCTCCAATATCTCAGCATTCTCGTTTGCTTATTTTTGCTCCGCACAAGCCTGCGTGTTACCATTTAGAGAGAATCACGATGCGCCTCCAGTTCAGGGATGGTCATATTTCGGGAGATACTTAACAGAAGACAAGGCAACGCAGAACACCGCGTAAGCGATGGCTCGTTCATGCCCAATCTTCACAACTTCAGGAAAATTTTAGCAGGTTTAGGAATCGGCTTGATCATTCAAGTTCAGTACAGCTTAAATCTGCAGAGCGGATCACCGTCATCCTCAGACAACCGACAAACAATTTTCGAAGGTTAGCTGGCAGTGCTACTGGTCGACATCACCAGAATTTCGATCGGATGTCATCGACCGCTTAGCGCAGTGCCGAGATAGCCCAAAAGATATTCCCTCTTATTGCAATTGTCCGTAGTCTGAACCTGAGGGCACTGACTTTATGTAAAGTGCTTTTCATAAGAACACATTAGATGAAGCTATGTACATGGAAGCCATTGACGTGTACTCTATGCCTCTTCCTGTAACATGAGGCATTAAATTTTATTACCCTATATTATTTTAACCTTCCTACCGTTTCAGTAAAGTAAGATTGTGTGGTGGATGAATTTTTCGGTTGTGCGAGCATGTGGGCTCGTAGTCGAAAACTCTGCAATATTTATTTCACAGTTAAGAGTTTATTCGGGCACTACAGGTTGAGTGGTAATAGTTCTGCGTTATCTGAAATTGTCTCATCAAAAAGATTTAGGCTTCAGGGCAGGTATTATCAGCCACGTGGATAAGCTAAGTTAATCGCCGCACATTAAAAACGTGATAGTCGATCCACTGAGGCAAAAGCACCCAACCATAACATGAAAATCTTGTGGGTAGCTGAAAAAACAACCAGTCTGAGAATATATATATGTATATATATATATATGTATATAAATGGTAGTTACATATCTGCCAATTATAAAACCTATTATGAGAGCCACAAATTTGCTTGTAGGTTTTACTGCCTAGTTCAAGCACGATGCCGTTGCACATACACCCAAACAGACAAAGAGACTTGAAATAATATTCCTTTGGGAGACTCAGAAGCACATAAACATGGAACCACTGTATGTGTAGGGATGGGTCAGGTTAAGGTTTTTTGTTCTCCATCAGCAATGACCTTATGGTTGGGTCTTGCAATGCAAATCAAACCACACAGCCTAACAGATAATCTGGTTGGGCGCAGGTTAAGACGGCGTGATATTTCTGCTGAAATGCATCAACGTTATGTTTCGCGACACACCAATAGACAATACCAAAACAGTGTAAAAGTTAGAATAAATTCAATCCACCATCAGCTTGTTTCAGTCAGGAGACACCATCAATTTTCAAACTCTTGGTGTTTCGGATTACACTGTGTACTTCACCAGTCATACTTCTCTCATCGCAACGAAATTCCTCCTCTTCATTGCGCAGTCAGTCATCTATGTTAACCATAGGAAAACACTGATGCACCAAATAGGATTGGGGTGGCTCAGAAAAGGAATACTCGATAAATTTTCGTATGTTGATCGGTTTCACGTTAAAATATTTCTTCTCACGAACCAGAAACTGTATTTCCAGGCGCCACTTCAATGGGAACTACATTAGTAACGGTGATGGATGGTGTGACTGGGAATAAACATTCGTTTAAGATTTTGTGATGCTGTGTTCAAGGCTTGACAATAAAAATCGATGTTGTAATGGACATACATGTGTGGAAATGGTCCATTTTGTTGGCAAACTGAGGTTGAACATGTGGTGTGTCACAAGTGCCACAATGATCAACATCCTCGATTTCTTCCATTTGCAGTACAAGGCCGTTAAGGAATTCTCCATCTTTGTCGTTTAGATTTGGCAGATCATAGACAATTAATATACGCAAATGCAGGTTTAAGGCTAGTTTTTACCTAAACCAACAAAACTCACCACATAACCTGGCAGTTGAAAGAGATTTTCTTTTCTGAGGCTATGCTAAGTTTATATCTCTCAACTCCAGTGTTGATAAAACTAACCACTTATTTAAATGACACGTACACTGGATTCAGGATAATTTCTCTTCCATGAAAACAAGTATGCTGCCGTTTTTCCTTTGCTGAGCAAGACAAAATATTTTCATCAGCTTTTAGTTCCTTCTTATCATACACTTCATCTGCTTGGCTTGATGGGTCAGGTGGGACGGTTTGCGTTAATCTCGACTCGATTATTTAACTTCACAGGGCAAATATACTAATTTTTAGCGGTTTAAGGTAGTGTTCTGCTTAAAGATCTTTAAAATCATACTATTCGTACCTTCATTTTCTCCAAAAGTCATTCAAACCTTGCTCACAAACACGAAGGTAGTTTTAACCTGTCGTGTAATTCCAAGGATAGTTTTGAATCATTCTGCTATTCAAGAATTTGCGGCCTGCCAGAAGAGCCTATTCCAACCGCTGAAAGAGCGTAGTCTAACTCCATTGAATAATACCTTAAATTTGTGACCAGATTAATATAAAATTAAGCATACAAAAGCTTTTTTCTTCACTGTAACCCAGTGAATGGTGAAAAGTCAGGTGAAAACCAGATGAAGTAGAAGCTAGCTCCTTTTGTGTCCCTACAAGTACTAAATATCCATAGCAGAGGTTCTCGAGACTTGACCCCATCTCCGCTTTTTTTCTGGATATCTTGTTCCGAACAATCAAGAAATTTCCTAAAAAGAAACCTAGACAAGGCCGGGTAAAGTAATGACCAGCCGAATAGTTCAGATAAAAATGCCATCAAAGTCCTAATTTTAGAATTCATTTCTGCTTTTTTTTGCAAGGTACATACTATCTGGTAGTCCGAAAGGGGATAGTTTTCCTAAATAACACCTCCGCTCTTAGTATATTATTAGTTTATCATCAACTGCAGAAGCCACAACAATAGTGAACTTCAGGTTGTGAGCCGACACTACATTGCCCAAATTAACGTTGAGTTTTGATGTCAGATGTTTGTTTAAACGAAGTGTACCCAACTTTTTGAATAGTAAAAGTCAGTGGGCTGATGACAAAGATTTATTGATCTCAGATACCCTCAGGTACGCAACTGTTGCCGCGCTTTGTCCAATACATCTGTTTTTATTCTGGGATAATTAGGGTAGACCGCCAATACCTAAAAGATTAAGAGAAAGGAAAATCCATTATTTGCGAAGACCTGTCGTGGTGGCGAATTTTTCACCCTTGTTGTTCAGGTGTTGGATTCGCATTTGTGTGAATATGCGTTCGAGCTCTGACAAACGGGGAAACCCACCTGCTTTAGTATGTTTCTGAGCCCAGAGACAAAACAGAATCGGGTCCTGAATACGTTTTCAACATGACATTGCATCTTTAGTTTTGATTTTTTCCACCGTCGTCATTTGGGCAACTTGTCCTCAGGAAATTGCGCCTGTAACATGAAAATCTTGTGGGTAGCTGAAAAAACAACCAGTCTGAGAATATATATATGTATATATATATATATGTATATAAATGGTAGTTACATATCTGCCAATTATAAAACCTATTATGAGAGCCACAAATTTGCTTGTAGGTTTTACTGCCTAGTTCAAGCACGATGCCGTTGCACATACACCCAAACAGACAAAGAGACTTGAAATAATATTCCTTTGGGAGACTCAGAAGCACATAAACATGGAACCACTGTATGTGTAGGGATGGGTCAGGTTAAGGTTTTTTGTTCTCCATCAGCAATGACCTTATGGTTGGGTCTTGCAATGCAAATCAAACCACACAGCCTAACAGATAATCTGGTTGGGCGCAGGTTAAGACGGCGTGATATTTCTGCTGAAATGCATCAACGTTATGTTTCGCGACACACCAATAGACAATACCAAAACAGTGTAAAAGTTAGAATAAATTCAATCCACCATCAGCTTGTTTCAGTCAGGAGACACCATCAATTTTCAAACTCTTGGTGTTTCGGATTACACTGTGTACTTCACCAGTCATACTTCTCTCATCGCAACGAAATTCCTCCTCTTCATTGCGCAGTCAGTCATCTATGTTAACCATAGGAAAACACTGATGCACCAAATAGGATTGGGGTGGCTCAGAAAAGGAATACTCGATAAATTTTCGTATGTTGATCGGTTTCACGTTAAAATATTTCTTCTCACGAACCAGAAACTGTATTTCCAGGCGCCACTTCAATGGGAACTACATTAGTAACGGTGATGGATGGTGTGACTGGGAATAAACATTCGTTTAAGATTTTGTGATGCTGTGTTGAAGGCTTGACAATAAAAATCGATATTGTAATGGACATACATGTGTGGAAATGGTTCATTTTGTTGGCAAACTGAGGTTGAACATGTGGTGTGTCACAAGTGCCACAATGATCAACATCCTCGATTTCTTCCATTTGCAGTACAAGGCCGTTAAGGAATTCTCCATCTTTGTCGTTTAGATTTGGCAGATCATAGACAATTAATATACGCAAATGCAGGTTTAAGGCTAGTTTTTACCTAAACCAACAAAACTCACCACATAACCTGGCAGTTGAAAGAGATTTTCTTTTCTGAGGCTATGCTAAGTTTATATCTCTCAACTCCAGTGTTGATAAAACTAACCACTTATTTAAATGACACGTACACTGGATTCAGGATAATTTCTCTTCCATGAAAACAAGTATGCTGCCGTTTTTCCTTTGCTGAGCAAGACAAAATATTTTCATCAGCTTTTAGTTCCTTCTTATCATACACTTCATCTGCTTGGCTTGATGGGTCAGGTGGGACGGTTTGCGTTAATCTCGACTCGATTATTTAACTTCACAGGGCAAATATACTAATTTTTAGCGGTTTAAGGTAGTGTTCTGCTTAAAGATCTTTAAAATCATACTATTCGTACCTTCATTTTCTCCAAAAGTCATTCAAACCTTGCTCACAAACACGAAGGTAGTTTTAACCTGTCGTGTAATTCCAAGGATAGTTTTGAATCATTCTGCTATTCAAGAATTTGCGGCCTGCCAGAAGAGCCTATTCCAACCGCTGAAAGAGCGTAGTCTAACTCCATTGAATAATACCTTAAATTTGTGACCAGATTAATATAAAATTAAGCATACAAAAGCTTTTTTCTTCACTGTAACCCAGTGAATGGTGAAAAGTCAGGTGAAAACCAGATGAAGTAGAAGCTAGCTCCTTTTGTGTCCCTACAAGTACTAAATATCCATAGCAGAGGTTCTCGAGACTTGACCCCATCTCCGCTTTTTTTCTGGATATCTTGTTCCGAACAATCAAGAAATTTCCTAAAAAGAAACCTAGACAAGGCCGGGTAAAGTAATGACCAGCCGAATAGTTCAGATAAAAATGCCATCAAAGTCCTAATTTTAGAATTCATTTCTGCTTTTTTTTGCAAGGTACATACTATCTGGTAGTCCGAAAGGGGATAGTTTTCCTAAATAACACCTCCGCTCTTAGTATATTATTAGTTTATCATCAACTGCAGAAGCCACAACAATAGTGAACTTCAGGTTGTGAGCCGACACTACATTGCCCAAATTAACGTTGAGTTTTGATGTCAGATGTTTGTTTAAACGAAGTGTACCCAACTTTTTGAATAGTAAAAGTCAGTGGGCTGATGACAAAGATTTATTGATCTCAGATACCCTCAGGTACGCAACTGTTGCCGCGCTTTGTCCAATACATCTGTTTTTATTCTGGGATAATTAGGGTAGACCGCCAATACCTAAAAGATTAAGAGAAAGGAAAATCCATTATTTGCGAAGACCTGTCGTGGTGGCGAATTTTTCACCCTTGTTGTTCAGGTGTTGGATTCGCATTTGTGTGAATATGCGTTCGAGCTCTGACAAACGGGGAAACCCACCTGCTTTAGTATGTTTCTGAGCCCAGAGACAAAACAGAATCGGGTCCTGAATACGTTTTCAACATGACATTGCATCTTTAGTTTTGATTTTTTCCACCGTCGTCATTTGGGCAACTTGTCGGAAAGAAATTGCGCCTGGTGTGTTGGCTACGGAATAAACTTTGTTTGTAAACTTTGTGTGTAAACAGGCGGCGACAACACGAGTCAGTTCCCAAGGTGTGTTGGCTACGGAATAAACTTTGTTTCCTAAGGAATCAATTGTGTTTGTGTGTAAACAGGCGGCGACAACACGAGTTCTTCAGTTCCCAAGAAACTCACTACGGGTTCGACACTACAGAGCAATACACGTGGCCTCGCATATGGGGTCACGAGCAAATCAGCTGCTCTAGATGTAGATGCCAAGAAAGTATACATTTTGTGGGGTGCGGAAATCGTACCACGCATAATCAGCAATAAAATTTGTTGATGCCGAAAGCCTGATTTATTGCTCACTTGATCTAGGCAGACCACGGTGTGAATCAGGTGTTTACATTCATCGCTGGTGCATGTTCTGTGGTCCTAGAAAGATTTTTCGGAGGTTGACGATGCTACGTGCTGTTTTCTTATGGTTTTTGCTTAAGGGTAGTGTCTTTAGAAGGGCCATGATGGTGGAGTGACAAGCGATTCACCTTGATATGAAATTGAAATTGTGCTGCACGGCTTTGCATTTATACGTCTGGATGAGAAGATTAAATTTGGCAAAGAAATACAAAACGGTCGAATTCTGATATTCATTGTTGGAATAGTTTGCCATATTCATTAAGCTGTTCGGCAAAATGAAATAGTCACATACTTATTTATACTTTATGCGTGGCAGTAAAAGACTTCTGACTCCCGTTGACTTATTGGATAGGGATTTAGACCAACCAAGAAAAATTGCTGGATATTTTTGTTGAATCAGCACAGTAAGCAACTTTTATTTGGACCGCGAACACACGTCACACTTGGACGTCGCGGCTCAAATCAAAATCATTAAAGATTTTTGGCAAAGCTTTCGCTACTTCATCTTTAGGATTTAGCTATGTTTAACCTAATGCTTGTAGCATACATGCCTCGAATGACCGAACGACCAAAGAGCATGACAAGTCACCACATCCTGATTTGGACAAATTTTGTTACACGCAGTGAACTATGCATGGCATAATAATCAATTTGCTCTATTACAGCTGATGTTGTATACATACGTACGTATTCTTACCTAATTTTGGTCTACTCCGGCGAATAATCCAAAGGAGTTGAAGGGAAATTATCTGTTGTGGTTAGTTTAGCTACGGAAATTAAGGGTGCGAACGTGTCTAAAATGTACTGATCTTCGTTGCGAATTTCCTGTGTTCCCGCCTACACAACGAGCTAGTAGAAACAATGTTTATGAGGTACCAAAGTCGCTTTTAGCAGCCGCGTTAGTAACAACACAATGTCATCTAGCTACAGTCAAACAAAAGTTTATCCAACGCACAAGTGAAGCAAAGTTGCTGTTCTTGGAAACCCCACGTCATGTGGGCAGTCACAACCCAACTGCTAGAAACATCACCCGAATTGAAGCAACATTTATTGGCAATGACCTCCGAGGCAGAAGCATTGTAACCCAACCGAACTCTTTATGACTCACCTGTAAGCATACTTCGATTGCTTCAAGTAGCTGACGTATTTTTAAACGGGCGTGTGCCAGTTTGTAGCCTGAAAAAATCAGAGGACGAACTGTGTTAAAGAAATTAGAAGCAAAAAAACAAGGTTCGTCAAAACATACCAGAATCACATACTCGAGCAATACTATCGGTTTAAAACTCACTTGTACACTATCCGTGAACTGAACAACACGTAACGGCCTCAAAAATTTCAACAGTGGAAGGCACACTGGGATAACTGATTTTAAAATGCCTATAATGTTGCGCCCATTGCATATATTACTAAAAAAATGTTTGACACTTTATTTCCGGTTGAGGTACTGTGACACATTAGATCAAGGCAAACCAGTTTTGTTCGCATGTTTCTATCAGTTCGCTACAGCCTGCTTTGTGTCTTGAAAAATTACAGGCGACAAATAGATCTTCACTTTAGTTTGAGTATAATCATTGAACTGAATTTAAAAACAGAGGAGAGATAATAGTGCGGAACTAGTCGAGGTTTAAATACAGCAGTCAGTCCGAGAATGTAGTGACTTCTGTTGCCATAATTAGTTTTCGACCGGACCAGAGCAAGAAGCTCAGAAGATGGTTGCACATCGTTATGTCCCAAGTATTCAGAGAAGGCAACTCACAGCAAGCTAACCTGAGGCGTTATATTATATTTTGTCTTCTTCAGAAGTTTACTTATGTAATGCACTCATGTGGTATCTTAAAAATATTTACCATTTATGGAGTATGGGTAGAATTATAACTCAAGCTATCTTAAGTCACTAGGTGACCTGGTACTGAAGCATTGACGTAACTGCTTGGACTGAGCTCTGTATATCGGTAGAGATGCACAAGTAATGAATTGAATTCAGTCGAACCCTTATTATGGGAGAATTTATGGGATAAGTATGCAGGACGTTTAAATTTGGACAAGAGTTGTAACAATGCTTGAAGAAGCGAATGCTCAGCACTGGAAAATTGTGCCAGAGTTCTGCGGAAGATTCAGTTTCCTGTGAAGAATGCACTCACAGCCGGTGTCTGCTAACTCAGTCATGTCAATTAACGTACAATACCGAAACTAGCAAAATAGTCTGAGTACCAACAGTCAAAATTTCTACAGTGCAACAAACTCTGTAGCTAGTGTTAAGATATATTCAAACACTGCTAATATGCTAACCAGATTTGGGAAGGATTTAGGAAAGATTTACCTGAAGATTTTGGGGAAATAAACGGTCCGATTTCGCTAATCAAGGTACGCCTGACTGTAATTAGAAACCAGTACTTTACTCACCAACTGAAGGATTGCTTCTATTTGAAATATTCCAAGCAAGCTCATAATTTCGTGCTGCTTCGTGAAAGTTTTGTTCCTTTTCCATCACGTACCCAGTAAATTCGTATGCTTTAGTACATGACTAAAAGGATGAGCACAAGCGAAGAGAGTAACAAACATATGGCAGATTATCTGTAGTTTTGTTGTCAGTGGGATAGTTCGGTATGAAATTGCCTGCTTTGAACGTACCATAAGAGAGTAACAGGGTAAAGCTGATTAATCAGTACTTAATTTGTCACTAGAAAGAAATGAAAATCCTAAAAAAACAAGGTTAAGAGACAAACAATTTACTGCACACCGTAATGCACAAGAGTTAATAATTTTCTCAGCTTATTCCTGTAGGTCATTAATTTAGAAATCCAATTGAGGAGGCTTTAGAATTCCTTTGAGAGCGTTTCAGAGCACAAGCATGGATGATCACATCCTTCCATCCATAATAAAGGAAGTCAATTGCTATCCTGCATGACCAACAGGAGAAAACGTGGTCTCTATGTGACAAGCACACAATCACGCTAATACTCTATTAAATCAAACTCGCGAATGCCGTAGGGAGCAACTTTCAAACTTGGATGCAGTAAGCCATGGTTAATGTCATCCAGAGAGATACCGATTCACTCAGCCTGACTGAACACAGTCACAGTTGGGCACGTTGTACCCAGCGGTAAACAGTAAACAGACATTTTTATCCTAAGGGTCACTCTGTTCCAACTTAAGATACAGGACAAAAAGTCTAACGTGCTAGTTAGCCACCTATCAAGAAAACTAGATTTGCAAATCACATTTGCACGATTCACAAGACTGGGGTTCTTGATATTTTCATTGCAAAATCCACTCGTTCTTTGGGGTAGAAATCATTGTCGCCGCATTAAAACAGTCTACTTTGTTGGTTAGATGGTGTGCCTTCTTAGAGGGGTTTAAATACCAGGAAGTTGAGTAAGACATCGCACATGTTCGCAATAAATTTGCATTGCTCTCGCTAGAGGTATGGCTAAAACAGAAATTTCCTACCAGAATTGGATGGCTGAATTCATAAAAACCTGAAAGTTCCTTGGGGTGAGTATTCTCAGGCCTAATTACGCCATCGGCGCATGTCCATAAAACGTTCAGTCTCTATGCTGTTTATAGCAGTGTTAGCGCTAGTGCTTATACATACTTTCACTTGACTTTTAATCTTCATTTAGTAGAGGGCTGCATTTTGGACTACCCTTAAGGAATGCGCGGGCAGTCACTAAAATAGCGGCCTATGATACCTTTCTAACCTTTCATCATTCTCAACAGTCTCGTCAAGTGCTTGTCGACTTCAAGCGAACTGAGGTCTGCTTGCTCTTGTAGTCCAACCTGTTCGTGCTGTATCAGTTTGAGGAAGGCAGGGTGCTAGAATGAGGTAATATCAACCTGTTTTATCCGTCCCAGCAAACCAGTAGTAATCATAAAGGCTCCAAAATAACAAATCCACTGTCTTCATCTTACATGGTGATGATGGGGCACCAAAATACCGAAATATAGCTGGCAATGTGAGAAAATTCGAGTTTCTTGTGGAGATTTCGTCTTTTATGTAAAGCCGATCTATGCTGAAAAGCCGAGAAGCACTTACGGCTGTTTCATACTCATTGGGATTCATCAGCAACGCGTATCTCACGAAACTCCGGAGAGTCTCAAAACCCGGCCAGTAGTTTGAACGCTTAATCACACTGCTGAGCAGCCGCTCGTGGCCGAACGGTTAGGCGATCGCGATTTCGAAACTCTCTGGCGTCTCGTGAGATGCACACTGCTGATGATTCCCAATAAGGGTGAAACAGCTGTAAGTGCTTCTCGGCTTTTCAGTATAGATTAACTTTACTTACAGGACGAAATCTCGACGAAAAATATCGAAAAAATTGTTAACAATGTCACTTGGCATAGACAACGACATTGGGTACACAGGATGTTGCCTGCATGTCATTGAGGGATAAGAATGTTTGAGATACGTCCAGTGAAGTATTTTATAGCAAACCACATGTTTGGAATAGACATCTAGAGAAAGTTTCTAAGTGGATGAATGCTTGGGATACCCCCCGCAAACGTACACTTGTTAGAATAAGCAAAAATTCACATTAACTCAGTAAGAAAAGGTTCTGTTGGTTTTTTGTTGACATCTGAACCACTTATCCTCAATCGTCAGTATGTACCACTTTCTATTGCAAAAACGGGACAAGTTTAGTGCATCAGATAAAGCATCTCCTAAAAATTTCCATCCTCTTTGGAAAAGACATTTTGAAAACTATCCCCCATCTTACTTTTTATTCGCTGATAGTTGTGCCTTATTCAGCCCATTTAGATCATTCTACTATTCTCCGACAACACACTGCCATACTGTGGTAAAAGCGAGCAGAAAAAATTGTTATGAACCCCACACCACACCATATGTCCGATATTGCTGAACTGTCATCTGTGCCCCATCCTTATATGTGTGGTCCTACATGAGTTAGACATGGATCAAAGCAGATTTGGAGCGGCGGTATAGTTATGGTGGTTAACTTTTTGTCGGTCAAAATATAAATCACTTTTAACGTAGATAAAACATGCGGGTCTGAACACATCTGGTGGTTTTGTTCAGCCGAAGGAGAGCTTGTGGCACAAATGAACCAAAAACCATACGGTTCAGTGGAGAAGGGTTTTAGATTGGAAACAAACTCATCTGTTAAATGACTGTCTCATAGTATGACAAGAAATTACCTCTAAGCTGAGTTCATTTCAATGAAAGCTGGAATGGTTTTTTAAAAGGTTATTACCATAGGAGAAACAATTCCCTGTTGTCAATACAAGGCACTATGATGAAATTTCCAACATTAAGATGGAAGTATTATTTTGAAGCTGTCTACGGCATCATAAAAAGTTTTTTAGCAACACGGAATCAGGACTTCGATTTAGCTGTGTTCTTTACCCAGGTTTGCCCATTACTGTCATACTGCCCCACAACGCAACGCCTTCGAAAAATCGCCCAGCATTTATGGAATAGTTGCTGCACAACGCCTGGCTCTAAAATCTACCAGATTCCTCCTTTCGAGTGCTGCTATAATGATTGAAAAGCTATCAGTCTGTCCAATGGTGACAAACCATCGCATCATTATCACGCTTCTTCGTAATCTGGTGCTTCCAAAAAGAGCAAATGCGGAAAGTTTTTGAGATTATATACTATTCAGTTTATTGCCGAGAACCAAAAGTTTGCAAGTTACTGCAACTAAACGGTAAGGAAAAAACCGAGCATGAATGTATAGAAACCAAGATTATCTCAGAAAAATGCTCCATGGGAATGGATGTTGAATTGTTACGGAGTAACTTCACCATGTGTGTTGCTAAAGTAAACTAAGCTGCGCCCATCTCATTGCTCTCACTGAGTGCAGTACCAAACAGAAGTAACTAATTGAGTTCCTGAAATTAATCAGTAGACGATTGCTTGAAGAAGCAGAATAGTGAGTACATTTCTTCTCTCTTTATCTATGTCGATTAGCCGGGACATAACTGATATTAACTGAGATGCAAACCAGTTTATCAAAGATTAAAGTTAGATATAAGACTGGTTTTCACCTGCTGCTTTGAAATTACCTGGATTATTAAAGCATTGCTTAGGGCCGATACCTGTTTTGAATAACTGTGAGTCCAATCAGATTACTATTACGTCACTACTAAGTTTCCTGAACAATTCCGATCGATAGCCTGGTAGAAGATTACATCCATAACCCTCGGAAGGTAGGAATGTAGAAATTTATGGATAGCGCAAACGTATTCAAGGTTACGCTCACAGTTTTATCGCTATGACCAAACACAGTGTTCAGCATTACTGTTTTCATCACGCGATTTGTGAAATGCCCGTAATAAAAAGATGCACGTTTTGTGTATCCCAACTAATTAAGTCGTTTCAAACCTGTGTACGTGGAACATACTTTGCGATGCGTTTCAATCGTTGCAGAAGAGCTTTCAAAATATCATTCAACTTGTTGTTTGTGCGGATTATTCGGAATGGATGGAACTGGGGACGGGCATAATTCAATTCAACGTGAGAAGAAACGTGTTCACTTAAGGCAATTGAAAACGTCTGTTGGTAACTCATCTGTAAGGCCTACTAGAATGCAAATTCACCAACTTATGCTGATGCATGTGAATGAATGCCATTTTTGTTGTCAAAAAGTGCATTCTTTCTTAGTTTTTTTATGGATCATGCAAGAACGGTCCAGTTATGGTGGAGTATTTTCAGTCCGACCTGACACAAATAAGTGCAACTGTAAAAACATAGTTGCGCGGTGTTTATGTAGAAGAACCGTTGAAACTGTGATAGATACTCCTGGAAGAACATAGCTTGGATATTGTTTCAGTTCCACTGGTCGGTTGATTCAAAGAAATGGGGGTAAAAAGTACTAGATACGGAAGTAGATTCTAGTCTTCTGCCAGAATTTCTGCAGGCTGTCGTCATTTTCACCGGAGAAAGCTAAAAAAACGGTTCAGCTTATCAGACTGTTGATTGTGGATCAGGTGGCTGGTAATATGTTCACTGAGATTAGCAAATGGCTTACGTGACCAGAAACACCTGATCAATAATCGGCAAACGTACCTAGCTACCATCATTCTAACACACCGCCTTACCTTATTGTATTGTAAGCATCTTTTGAGCAGCTCTTGAGCCAATTCAGTTTTGCCAATCTTAATATATATCTCAGCTAACAGTAGCCAAGATAGTTCCAAATCTTCCGAATCCTTAGAGAAAAAAAGGAGGAACACAAGAATAAGCATGGAACTGTATAGGGGTGCAGAAAGATGTTGACTGTTAACCCGTTAGACAGAGATGAACTAGTTGTGAAGCTCAAGTATATAGAGGCAAAGTGGATCAAGCTACTCAGTTGTTCGAGCACACTTCCTTTAAGCGGGACGTTGGTAGTTCCAGTTGGCATCCAGAGGTTTCTTTGCTACTTCAATATGAGTAGTGGAAACTGGTACTTCGAGGGGAAGTTTTCATGCTCACTTGCCCTTAGGTTGAAATGCAAATATAATATAGTGTCGATTCAAGTAGGGTTGCTTAGATATTTTTCTTGTCGGCTCTCGCGTCTTGCCTTGTCTCTATACATGGCCACAGGCCAACAATAAGTTTTGCAAAAGCGTGGCGGAGAAATGAGAAGCATGAGGAAAGCTCTTCATGCTTAAAAAAAGCAACCAAAATAAGGCTTCAGAAGTTCAGAATTTCACTCATGATTCTATTCCACTAAGTCATGGGGGTAGCAAAAAATGTGGAACAGTAGTCAGATTGAAAATGCTTCTGAGGTAGAACAAACGACATTCCCTATACTCACGAATAGCAGATCTGTGTTCCCAGCTTAATCGTAGAAGCAAACGTAAGATGCTGTACACAAAATCATTTGCACAGCGCATAGTTTTAAAGCGCGGCAGAAAGCAGTAAAAGTAATTGAGGGTAAAAAATCCACAGTTTCATAGACCTGTCAGTTCGAACTTATGGAGGGGAATCTGACATGCAATCTGACAGTTTTTTATACATTTCTTGTGATGCGAGTGCACTTAACACTTGTGCGCGTCAATAGTGAGCAGGAGGAGGAATTTCTACCAAAAGGCGAATAAATACTGAATCCATTGTTGAAAGACTCGCAGTGAGATTTTTCCTCATATCCGGCAGAGCCTAGTTAACTAATTTGTTTAGTCCTGCTGCATGCTGAAGAATGGCTTGAATAAAGCTTCTTCATCACCTTTGTGCTCTTCATAATCGGCAATCTCACACTGGCCTCATAGCTTTCCTGATTGTCCTTATGAAGAAAAGCAACAATAGTGTGAGATACGCGCACAATCAGCGAACTCTTATGTAAGTATGTGAAAATGCAGGCTTGCGGAAGTCAGAAGCATTACTAGAATAGACACTTTACAGACAAGAGACAACATCCGAAGGAAAAGAATACCTGTTTATTTCCATGACAGGAGCAGTTTTTTTCAAACGTTCACGCGTAAGTCGTGCGTAAGAATTAAATTTACGGAAATAGCTTTTAGATTTTTCAGCGATGGCTTGCATGGCAAAAACTAACAAAGAATAGGACACCCACTTCGCTGTTCTTTAAGCGATCCACCACTGCGTAGAGTGAAACTTGGACCACGAAGCAACCGGCCATAACATTTACTGGTAAAATTTTTTCATTACAATTCGTAATCTAGCAGAAAGGTGCTAAATTGTGTCACCTTTTACGTCACTTACTTGCTATCTGATTTCAGCCATCGCAACGCATATTTGGCATACAGATGGCACACCCACAACCGAGTTTTCTCACAAATCTGGTTTCCCATACCCTCTTGCCAGGCTGTGACTGAGTGAATTTCACCTCGAATGAAAAGTTGCTCGATTAAGATCAGACTACTAAATTGGGTTGCTCAGCTGGTAATCTGCTGGGATCTGGAATTTTTTTAAAATGGATTTTTGTCACTAACCATGATAACTAAGCGTTGAATTGTCGTTTGGCCGAGAGGTGGGCGAGCTATCAACGCCAGTGAGAGAAATGCAAGATTGTTATTAATCTTCCTTTGCTGAGAGCGTCGTGACCAAACAGTAACATTGTTTCCCTGAAACAAATGCGCTTGGAAAATTGGCACAGGTAGTTCAATCAATGGGGTATTTCTGTCGCACTGAATTTGGAAGTTTTTGGTTTTCTTAATAAATTAAGTAACTGAATTACTGCCTCATGTTTTCCACGTCGAGACGAAGACTCCTAAAAGCTTACATGCATAATCACATTAGGATTTTCGAGGAGAAAATAAGCCCCGGTTAGGGAAGGCGCAAAAAATATTGAGTTTACTCGAAACTCTGAAAAATGCATAGAATACAGAATCGTCTGAAAGAAATGCAAAAAATGTAAACACTTTGGAACACTTTATTCTCGGGGGATACTTAGCTTTTTCCAGGTGTTGTGCTGCTGTGAAAGGTCTGCATAATGAGTAGTGTCTGACGAACGTTGTTACATGCTCAGTAGGGCAGGGAAATGTGTACGTGGAATTCTCTGGGTTAGTATAATTTTCAAGAAGAAGGTTGACGGACATCTGCTTAGTGTTGTCTTGGGGGGATGCAGCCTTATATATAGAAGTTCACGATGATCGGGGGCTCATGAGCAAAACTACTGGTGCCGTGGTTGCATCCCCACTGCGAGAATGAGAGAAAGAAGGTTGAACGAGAAAACTCGATCACAGTACTTTGGTATTCATGGGGTATTTGCCTTAATAGAAGCCCCAACACCACTGCTTCCGTGACGTCCTACTGCTCCGGGCTAGTGAGGTAGCCAACCAAGCACTGGATACCTAGAAGGATGTCGCCGTCGGAATGGTCAGGTAGAAACATGGGCAAATCCTGTCAAGGCGCTTGCGGAACGTTCGGACCTATAGTTGGTTTTTGGTAGTTGGCGTCGCAATCAAAAGTGGAATTTCATATGTGCAAACATTGTTCCTGATCACTAAAATTCGCGAAAAACCTGAAGCCATCTCGTTTTCACACAACATCCGCAATAAAATGAACTAAGTGACCACATCTAATCACCGATTTTTTGTAGGATACTGGCAAATACACGAAGGCGCGCGTACGATATACGTTAAACCCATCACTATACATGCGTGTTGATTCACTCACTTCTGCATTCCAAGGAACCCTAGCCAAGCGTTTCAGTTGGTTACGTGCCTTCTGTATCTGATTCAAAGCAATGTAGCAGGCGGCCGCTCCGTAGATCAGGGAGCAGTTATCAGGCTGTTGGTTACATGAAACATAAGTAATTTAGTTTTTTTTGTATCAAACATGAAAGGACTTTTCGAAAAGAGGAGTAAAGTGCAATAGATACATACAGGCTACCGTAAGCTCAAGGCTCCATGACAGTAATGTTGGATTCTAGTGCATGTACGCTTTGCATAACATACGGAGGATCATCCCAGAAAAGAAGCACCGGGAATAAAACTTGCAACCACTGCTACTACTACCAAGTTAAATCAGGAGGCACAAATGCGAATAATTAGGCAAACAGCTGGATTTCTTAGTGCCCAGTTTATGTTATTTCCGAAGTTCCTGCAAAATACAGGTGCACATTGATGCAAGGAGTTGAAGGAGCTCGAGCCAAGACGCGTTGGTGAAATGCGCACTTCTCAACTTTTCTGTATAGATTGGCTTCACTTACAGGACGAAATATCCACGAAATTTTCCGAATCTCCACATGCTACCAACAATCTATAAGTAGCTCAGTGAAAGATAAGCTTCACCCGATGAGTGAGGCTTCCAGCTGAGAAGTCATCGCTTGAGGAGCCAGTCAACGCGTGTGGCCGCATGATTTAGATCCCGTGACTGAAGAAAGAGCGGTGCTATATCCTGCCTGAGTGCGAGTTAAACACGCTGTTGATCAGCTGCTCGTGGCCGAACGGTTAAGTGTCTAAACTACCGGCCGGGGAGTCACGGGAGACTCTCTCGTGTTGATTCACTCACTTCTGCATTCCAAGGAACCCTAGCCAAGCGTTTCAGTTGGTTACGTGCCTTCTGTATCTGATTCAAAGCAATGTAGCAGGCGGCCGCTCCGTAGATCAGGGAGCAGTTATCAGGCTGTTGGTTACATGAAACATAAGTAATTTAGTTTTTTTTGTATCAAACATGAAAGGACTTTTCGAAAAGAGGAGTAAAGTGCAATAGATACATACAGGCTACCGTAAGCTCAAGGCTCCATGACAGTAATGTTGGATTCTAGTGCATGTACGCTTTGCATAACATACGGAGGATCATCCCAGAAAAGAAGCACCGGGAATAAAACTTGCAACCACTGCTACTACTACCAAGTTAAATCAGGAGGCACAAATGCGAATAATTAGGCAAACAGCTGGATTTCTTAGTGCCCAGTTTATGTTATTTCCGAAGTTCCTGCAAAATACAGGTGCACATTGATGCAAGGAGTTGAAGGAGCTCGAGCCAAGACGCGTTGGTGAAATGCGCACTTCTCAACTTTTCTGTATAGATTGGCTTCACTTACAGGACGAAATATCCACGAAATTTTCCGAATCTCCACATGCTACCAACAATCTATAAGTAGCTCAGTGAAAGATAAGCTTCACCCGATGAGTGAGGCTTCCAGCTGAGAAGTCATCGCTTGAGGAGCCAGTCAACGCGTGTGGCCGCATGATTTAGATCCCGTGACTGAAGAAAGAGCGGTGCTATATCCTGCCTGAGTGCGAGTTAAACACGCTGTTGATCAGCTGCTCGTGGCCGAACGGTTAAGTGTCTAAACTACCGGCCGGGGAGTCACGGGTTGGAGACTCTCTGGCGTTTCGTGAGATGCGCACTGCTGATGATTCCTAATAAGGATGAAACAGCTGTAAGTGCTTATCAGCTTTTCAGCATACAGTGGATTCACTTACGGGACGAAATTTCCATAGAAATGTGTGTTTGTGGTTCAGTGAACGCACTGATAACTTTGTGTCACTATGAAGGACGACCACGATGCTCGTACAAAACGGATCTGAGTTTTTTTCAGCCTACAAGGTGAATATTTGGTACGTGGATTTGAAGTAACTGTTTAGTTTCACAAGGTGCAGTGTGACGCAGCCAAGTTTTTCGGTATTCTCAAGCTGTAAACTGATAGTGGTCGTTCAACTTTTGGCGTGACAACGAAGAAGGTGGAGTGCCAATTACCAGGGCCTGGATTAAGTTCATGTGATTCCGTAATAAAACTCATGTGGTTCAGCTGACTCTAAAGCCAAAGCAGGCGACTGCATACAATGTATTATGAGTTTGCAGTGCGCATTTTGATATGGTATGACAATAAAAATGACGAAACGATATTATCAAAAGTATATCCTCACGCTGAATCATTGTTGTAAATGATAGGCTCCGAAAGGCCAATTAAGGCTATCCACGTAATAATACACGTGATAAACATAAAAATTGAGCACATTTTTCATGTCTACCTTCCACTCAACTTCATCTCCAATCAGATTAGTGCAACTTTATAAAGCATTGCAAAATTCCAGTTGCCTCACCCGTAAGGAACTACGAGACACACATGCGAGACTATGTTAGTGGTGAATCAACATCAAGTGCCCACCAACAAAGAAGTGGTAGCTGCAGATAGATATCGTCACCAGTGATGATCTAGACTGGCGCGACCGTTTGTGATTAAATCCGCCTTTTAAATCGATCTAAAAGCTATATAGTAGCTAAATAACTTACTTTACATTAGCAATAGCATGAAAATGAACAGAATCCATGAAACATACGTCTTCTTGAGCCATACGGGCGAATGTTTCCAGAACCGCCTCCACTTTTGCCTTTGATCCCGTTGCGACCAAAACCATATTGATTCTATGCAGATGTTTCTTCCTGTTTCTGACCACTCGCAATTCCTGAATGCGATAAATGATAATGATAATAATGATAAAGATAATGCAACGCACAAATTCACAAAAATTCGGACCCGCTATTTATGACCCAACCCTTCTCTTCCGTCACTGAAAGTTGACATGAATAAGTTCAGCGAAAAATAGCGAATAATGGAGAGGTCCAACAGAACACTAAACCCAAGGCTCAGCTGCCGGATTAGCTATGATACTGAATGGAAACTGTGAGCCTAGTATGCAAAAAATACCTTTATAGAGCGCTACTGGAATTAAGTGCATCGGCTCACGATGTTTTTGAATTATTTTGTCCTTAAACATCGTGCTGACGCATACCGAAGTCAAATAAAGACGTGCGTCATTAGTGCGAATCTGCTTTATTCGAGAAATGTGGTGAGGTTGTCGAAAATACACGTTACTGTACTCGAAAGGATGCCGTATCCCATGTTTAAATAACCTTCCAGTATCTTAACTGGTATGCTGTTGTCAGAACTTTGGTTGGGGACGGGGAATCCACTGTTGAAATAATTTTGAGAGTCTGGTTCATTTTTTGGAAAAAGTGGTTTATCAGTTTCCAGAGTGGAGCATAATACGCTTTAGTTCACAAGAGCACAGAAATTGTGCCATTTAAATCCGCATACAGGTTAATTCAGGCTGGCAAGAGGGTTGAAGTATTTTTTGAAAGAAAAGCACATGAAAAGAAAGGCATTTGAGAGTTTTCCTTTGAAAACAGAGTCTTGCGTTTACCTTTAAACTTTCATTTACAGACCTACTGTCCGCGGCCGTACGTCAAGCCTCACATCCGACTTTGAGTAAGATTTAACGTCATCAACTTACAACATGACAAGTAGAAGAAGGATTCAAAGCAGAGGCTGCTAGTTGCTACCGATTCCAGATATGCCCGGATTGTCTCAGTATATTTAACGGACTTTCAATAGTGAGGATTCGCTTCTTTTGTGTTTTCACAGTTTGATTGTGTACGTCATTTCCTTGTAGGGGCGATGATTTTGCCATTCCAATGCTTACCTATCAAACACACGGCAACCAGAGCAGGAAATTTGATGGCACCAAGTCCTAACCCTCTCACTTCATTTCATATCCATAATTAGACTTAGTCACAGATCCAAGTATTAGGCAGGGTCAGCTGCACTATCGGTGTCTGGGGGTATAATTGATGTACCTGCTTAGTACTGCTACTTTTGGGGGAACAACTTGGATTCAGCGTGGTTTGTGGGACTCACCGATTCAAAGCAACGATCTAATGTTTATTTGTCGATTTAAGACATAAAACGAAATGTTTGTGAGCCTGTTTCAATCAGTTTTAGGGGCTATCGAGCCCAAGTGATGCCTTGGGTGTGGGCATCCTTGTACCAATGGGTCCAGTACTAACACACACGTTTCTTTTAATCAAACAGCAGGGCTTGGAAAACCCTACCAGATAAGCTTTAGATGAGAAAGCCAGGAACACTCACTGCACACGAAATGCTGTTAACTAAAATTGTCACAAAGAGGATAATGGTTCTTGTACTGAACTGCATAACATGGTTCTTACATTTAGCAGGTTTTCAGCAACCTCATATCCCCGAACTTTCGTAACCTCATCGGAGGAAACTAGATTGTCTGTTATTTTATTCTGACCGGATGTAGCAGTGTTTGAACTGTTCGTTACCTGTCCAGCGTCCGAAAAGTGTTCATAGGTTGCTTGGTAGTCCGTGGCTAAACAAATATCCACCATATGATAGATTGCTTCTTCTGAAAAATCGCTATCCATGCGTGCACGATTGAAATGTTGCAACGCCAGAATCGACTCTCCCGTAAAACTGTGACAAAATGAAATCGACGAGTGCTGAAATTCAGACACGAATGGTTCCACAATTTGACGTACGATAGCCAGAAAAATTTACTTACGAGTAACAAAGGCCACGACAAAAGTTGTAGCCAGCAGACGCACTTCCATAGACATCTATGGCACGAGCTTTCTCAACCCATTCTACTGCACGGCTGATTTGACCTGCTCTGCGCAATGCGTCGACCAGGAAACTTAAGGTTTGATAGTTGGCTGAAATGTAAAATAGTAAGTTATTTCCACAGTATAGATTATTTAGGTGGAACTGGTTCGTATTACCCATTTAAAAACTTTGCTTTTGAAAAGTTTTGTAACACATGCTTACAAGCAAAAATAGGCTAACACAAAATTCGCAATCTGTCTCCCCACACGTGCTACGACAGCCAGCTTTGAAATATTTCTAAATTATCTGTAAGTTGGATTCTCACTGTGAACAGATTCACCGATGGAGAAAACAGGTATTGTTTTAAAACAGGTGCGAATCTGCATCAGCTCCAGGCTTTGGATTAATTTTGCGCGCCACTTCGTCGGAAAGTCAAAATAAAATATATTTCTGCAGCTGCATGTGGTTTGCTAGCTGTTCAATCGCGTCGGGTAACTTATCATCATAGTTTCATTTCCAGACGGAGGCAGATAAATTCTCAAGTCGACAACCATCTGGAAGTATGGGAATGCTTTTGAGTGTGGGAAATGCGCAAATTTGTTGTGCCTTAGTTGCTACAACTAATGTTGAAATAGACTATTGTGATCTGCATGCTTTTAAGCAACTTGAAACAAGCGTTATAAAACCATATAATTGGGCTGCCTTGGTAAATTCGGCAATTTGTAGCCAGGTAAGCGCATAATTTCTCTGATTTTGGACAGAAGTCAGTGGGTCCTCTGAGCGACAAACACCAGTACATTCTACTGACACAATATTTTAAAAAGTTTAATCCTGAGGGACTGTTTACGGCCACATGGGTGTCATCATGCGTCCGACCTCATGACAAGAGCAAGCGTCGAAGCAGATCTGTTTCTCAAGATGCGATAAATTTAATAGTAATGGGTAGTTGAGGACACCTAAAATGCACAGTTGACTAATTTTGTCACTTCATGGATGTTTTCCAGATCGTCGAATAGTTTTCTCTTCCGGATCGCTGATTGAATACGGTATAATTTGGCTTTGTCTGGACCAAAGTATTGCGGTTATCAAGTTTTGGACGTTAGAGCAGATGAAGAGACCTACGAATTCTCCCTGGGGTCGCTTATTTCATCTTTCAGTTTCTCTTTAGTTCTCAAATGCAAGGGTTACCAACTCTCTAGAATATTAATGTACACACTGACACCGGTCCCCCAGTGGAGGTACCTTTGGTGTGCATTTATCAGAATAATTACGCCTCGACGGGAGAACGGCTGTTCAAACGGGAGTGATGTGAATATGAAAAATACATATTTCGCAAAACCCACAACAGAAATAAAAAGGAAATTGCATTTGGAAGTTGGACGCAAGGCAAGAAAATGTTTTAGAAGAACCGAAACGACCCTCTCTTTCCTTTCGAACAAGTTTTCTAACAACAGTCTACAAAGTTTTGTTTAAACAGGCGGTTTTAAGATGTCCAGTGAGTTTCAAAGAGAACTAGAGGTTGGGGACAGTCATGCAGTTGCACGGACTGTGATGAAACAAGGTAAAAGGAGTATGAAAGGCTAAAAATACTTTTAATCGGCTGCGTCATTCATGGTGTCCATTGCTGATTCCGTTGATTCAGAACGGCCGTTGTATTCTGAACTACGCCAGCATCAACAGATCGAATGCAAATGTGCCGAACAAACCAATCATTTGGTCATCAAACTCTGCAGCAGCAAAGCAGCAATGTAAGAGTTGGGAAACCTTGTTCTCGTAGGACTTATAAGCACTGCACATTGTTTCGAAATTTCGGGACCCCACAGTGTGTTCATGGTATGTGCATCTAAATTTCCAGGTTTGCTCTTGCAGCGGCTTTTTAGCGGGGCACTTGAGCATTGATCAGTTTTGATGTTACCTGTCAGCACGAAAGTTATTCTAGTTGGGAGGAAACGAACTCAATTTCAAAGCGTAAAATGTCAAAATACTCGGTCCATCCTGTGAGGTGTCAGCAATCATCCGTTACACACTGAAAAAATAACCTAGAAACTGATCGGGTGTATGTTTCGCTGTCCCCAATCTCATCAATTTATTCAATGGACCCAAATGACCTGAGTGAACAAACTAGAATTTATAACGCACTACTCATAAGGTTGCTGAAAGTCCATCGACATCCCACGACCGACCTGTTTCGCCCTTTTTGGGGCTCATCAGGTAGGCGCAGTTCCCGGGTTCCCGTCAAATTTATGTTTTACTGGAAACCAAATTGCACGAAATTAGCGAATATACACTCAGGATTCAGATTTCCGTGTCAGTTTCAGCTGTTTGTTCTGCAACAGTTAACCAGTGTTGCAAAAGTGCCTTTTACATCTCGACAGAAAGGCAAAGTTGCCTTCAGAGTGACCATTACCCTCTATTTCTGAGAGTGCTCAATGTTTGTTTTGGTAACGGAAAAATCTGATGTTTACTGGCCACTGTAACCTTTTGGTCCGCTCTCCCATGTCTTAGTCTGATGATATGGCGCCTGTTCACAGTAGTGATTTTCGATCAACCATTTTCTAAATGCACTTCTTTCTTAAGCGAAATAATGGTCAGGAAAGTGATTTCGTTCGGTCTTTGTTTTTAATTATGTAATCCCTTTTTTAAAAAAATACCTGACTTTGAAGAAACGCTTCGACAAAAATAACGAATGCAAATACAGTTGTGACACTCAAGGGTATTCACCAAAGGAGAGGTTAGCTAGATTACTCGTGTTGATCATTATGTTTGGTGCGTGTGCTGCTCAGTACTCCAAACCACCGCTTTCGGTGCACATTTGGAGCAACACTAGCTGACATTTGCTTAAAAGCCCTTGATACGGACGCCAGTCTTGTCATTACTGCCACGGGCTCAATGAAACAGAACACTGTGGACTAGAAATTCTTTAATCTCACCATTTCAGTCAGAAGTCAACAGTACTGGAGGCCTATACATGCTCAGAAATATACGGAAATGTGGTAGGAGATGATCGCTGATTAAAACACCGTATACAGGCAAGTGCTTCGAATCCTGAAACCTGAGGCAGTGGGTACTAATGAAGCTCTTTGTCGTTTTGATCAGAACTACTTACCTATGAGTGAATTGAAAAATGCAGCTTCATTTCAGCTTACGACGCAGTGCACTTAAAATGAAGAGACATTCGTCGATGAGATTTTTGTGTCCATATCTGGATAATATGAATCTCGAACTACAGCTAGGTTTCAATTTTTCTCAAATTCTTCCCTGGTGAGCACATATGCACAGTGACGGAGCAGGTGGCTCGAAATTCAACAAAGACTTAGGGCGGTTTGAGTGAGTGTGGAGCAGAGGACAGTCTGTTGTATGATCACAAGCAGTCGAACAAAGGCCTACAATAAAAATGCTCTGCCTTTCATTCCTTCCACATGAAACGTTTTGTTTCATTTTACAAAAGCCAGATTATAAAACCGTCAGACGGACTCACCGATGAGGTTGTCCGATAAGGGCGCTGGGTTTCTGCTAGTGTGAGGAGATTTGGGAATTTTGGTGGTAATTTTCTCCTCTAAGTGAAGCCAATCTATGCTGAAAGGCCTAAAAACGCCAATCGGCTGTTTCACTCATACTGGGAATCATCAGTAAAGTATCTAATGACAATCCGGGATATCCCGGATAGTAGTTTGAACATTGACCCGTTCGACCACAAGCGGCTGAGTAGCAGCGCAATTAACTGGCAGTTAGACTGAAAAGTATGAAACAGTACGTCTTGACTTTCTAGCATAGGCTAGCTTCACTTACAGGACGAAGTCTCCGTCGAAGGGGACAGATTTTTATCCTGTTGTTCGTTTGATACTGCGACAGTATTCAGCTTGACTCCGAACAAATAATTAGAACAACTCAGAGTCCCCCTTCACATCGGTTTATATTGAACCCATCTATATAAAACGGTGGGACTCAGAGCGTGTGTCATGCAGGCGAGAACGCTTTCAAGAAAAGCGCGATTTTTCTCGGTAACAAAACTACGCTTTGTTTGCTGGAGAGTAATCCCATTGTATTTTCTAAGGATTGTTTTGGCCAGCTAAAATGTCGGAACGTGACCAACCTCTTCCAAACTAACATTTCCAGTATCCAGTTGACTGCAGGTGGTTTTCTACATGACTCATTTTTACCAGACAACATCAACTTACAACTGATCCACAAAGTGTTTTGCTCGCAGGTGATCTGCACCTTTGTTTACACACATTGTCCTTAGAAAAAAGGCGCTTCACGCCGAACTTTGAGTTTGCATTGGCCAAAAGCACTGCTAACAGATGCAGCTTCTAACTTGGTGAGTTGTTTACCCGAGGAAGCTGTGTTATCAGAGTGCTTTTTACCAAGCACAGGCCAGCGGACACAAATAACCATACACTTTTTGCACCGTAACTTCTGCGTTCTCAAAAAAATCAACCAATACAGCCCGAAGAAAACCAGTCACTTCGAATGGAGGTCCGGCACTGTATGTTTAAGTGGTCATTCATACTTCTACAAGTTTGGTATTTGTGATACGAATAAGATGGAAAAAACGGACTTTCAAAGATGAACAATCAATAACCAAGGGCGCTCGGAATAGTCCAGTTTGTTTTACCCGCAGTCAAACGAAACACAGCCTTGGGCGACAAATCGCCGTATGAAAAAATGCTTTCGGGCAGTTCCACAGGTGTCTCCATTAAAAAGTAAGAGTCAAGAGGTTGGAGGAGGTAAGAACCAGAATTTGATAAGAAAAACTCATCTTCAGTACAAATTTAAGTGTGCCATAAGTGGTACCAGAAGCAGGTCAAATTTATTACCCATTCAGTATGCTTGGTTGTAGCTTAAGCTGACCTGTAAAATTTGTGTTCCGGGATGGCCATGCATGCCGAAATTTTGAATGGTCACTCATATTTCAGGCATGACATTTGCTGTGCATGAAACACAACTTTGAAAAACGTGACAGGCTAGGTTCCAAAAGAACTTGCATGTTATTAGAATCGCATAAAAGATGTGCCCGGCTCAAGATGCCTTGGAAAATTCCTCAAACAAATTTTGAGTCTCGAGCAAACATATTGCAGGTATTTGATATTAGTATCTGAAAGTGAAATTA